AAACACATTTAGCTACAAAAGATAAAAATAGGCTCAAAGTCAAAGGATGGAAAACAATCCTACAAGCAAATGGGCCAAAAAAGAAAGCAGGAACAGCTATACTTATATCAGATAAAACAGACTTCAAACTCAAAAAAATAAAAAGAGACCCCAATGGTCACTACATTATGATTAAGGGGACAATACTTCAAGAAGAAATAACACTCATTAACATATACTCACCAAATGAAAGAGCACCAAAATATATCAGACAACTGTTGTCCTCTCTGAAAACAGACATCAGAGAAAACACATACGTAGTGGGAGACTTCAACACACCACTATCAACAATGGATAGATCAACAAGACAAAAAATAAGTAAAGAAACTAAAGCTCTAAATAAGGACCTAGAGCATTTGGGCTTAACAGACATCTATAGAACACTAAACCCAAAAAAAACGGAGTACACATTTTTCTCAAGCGCACACGGATCATTCTCCAGGATCGATCACATACTGGGGCACAAGACAAACATCAACAGATACACCAAGATTGAAATCATACCAACCATCTTTTCTGACCACGAAGGCATCAAACTAGAAATAAATCATAAAAAGAAGGCAAGGAACTATCCTACCTCATGGAGATTAAAAGCCACACTACTGGAAGACCACTGGACTAACGAGGAGATCAAAGAAGAAATTAAAAAATTCTTTGAATTGAATGACAAGGAGGACACCAATATCCTAAATGTATGGGATGCAGCAAAAGCAGTAATAAGAGGAAAATATATAGCAATAGAAGCTCACATCAAAAAACAAGAAAGAACTCAAAGAAACAACCTAATCTCGAAGCTCAAAGATCTAGAAAAAGAACAACAAAAAACCCCAAATCCAGTAGAAGAAAAGAAATAATAAAAACCAAAGCAGAAATAAATGAAATTGAAACTAAAAAAACAATCCAAAAGATCAATGAAACCAAGAGCTGGTTCTTTGAAAAAATAAATAAAATAGACAAACCCCTAGCCAGGCTCACAAAGGAAAAAAGGGAGAAAGCACAAATACACAGGATCATAAATGAAAGAGGAGAAATCACAACGGACACAGCAGAAATCAAAAGAATAATCAGTAACTACTATGAACAGTTATATGGAAACAAGTTCAACAATCTAGAGGAGATGGACAAATTCCTACAACTCTACAATCACCCAAAGCTAGATAAAGAAGAAATAGAACACCTAAACAGACCAATTACAAGCAGCGAAATTGAAATGGTAATCAAAAACCTCCCCAAAAACAAAAGCCCAGGACCTGATGGATTTACAAATGAATTCTACCAAACATTCAGAGACGAATTAGTGCCTATCCTTCACAAACTCTTCCAAAAAATTGAGAAGGAAGGGACAATACCAAACACGTTCTATGAAGCCAATATTACACTAATACCAAAACCGAATAAGGACAACACAAAAAAGGAAAACTATAGGCCAATCTCCCTAATGAACACTGATGCAAAAATCCTCAATAAAATTTTAGCTATCAGAATCCAACAATGTATCCATAAGATAATTCACCACGACCAAGTTGGATTCATTCCAGGGGCACAAGGATGGTTTAACATCCGAAAATCAATCAACGTTATCCAACACATCAACAAAAAGAAATATAAAAACCATATGATAATATCAATAGATGCTGAGAAAGCTTTCGACAAAGTGCAACACCCATTCATGATAAAAGCCCTTGAAATTCTTGGGATACAAGGAACATACCTCAACATCATAAAGGCCATCTATGACAAGCCAACAGCCAGTATCATTCTCAATGGTGAAAAGCTGAAAGCAATTCCATTAAGATCTGGAACAAGACAAGGATGTCCACTCTCACCACTGCTTTTCAATATAATACTGGAAGTCCTAGCCAGAGCAATAAGACAAGAGAAAGACATCCAAGGAATCCAAATAGGAAAAGAAGAAGTCAAACTATCACTATTTGCAGATGATATGATAATATACATAGAGAACCCCAAAATCTCCACAGAAAAACTAATTCAACTCATCAGTCAGTTCAGTAAAGTGGCAGGATACAAAATCAACACGCAAAAGTCAGTAGCCTTCCTATACACAAACAATAAATCTGAAGAAGAAGAAATCAAAAAAACCACCCCTTTTATTATTGAAACAAAAAAATCAAATATTTGGGAATAAATCTAACAAAAGAGGTAAAGGACCTATACAAAGAAAACTATAAAACACTGTTAAAAGAAATAGAAGAAGACACAAAGAAATGGAAAGACATCCCCTGCTCATGGATTGGAAGAATAAACATTATTAAAATGGCCATCCTACCAAAGCAATATACAGATTCAATGCTATTCCAATCAAAATCTCAATGGCATTCTTCAAAGAAATAGAACAATTATTGATGAAATTCATATGGAATCACCAAAAACCCCGAATAGCCAAAGCTCTACTGAAAAAAAAAGAAGGAAATGGAGGCATCAAACTCCCAGACTTCAAACTATACTACAAAGCCATAATCATCAAAACTGCATGGTATTGGAACAAGAACAGACATACAGACCAATGGAATCGAATAGAAAATCCAGAAATAAACCCACAGATTTATGGTCAACTAATCTTTGACAAAGGAGCAAAGACTATGCATTGGAGCAAAGAAAGTTTGTTCAATAAATGGTGCTGGGAAAACTGGGTCGCTACATGCAAAAGAATGAAGCTTGACCACTACCTCACACCATACACAAAAATCAACTCAAAATGGATTAAAGAACTAGACATAAGACCTGAAACCATAAAATACATAGAAGGAAATATAGGCGAAACACTACGGGATTTGCACATCAAAGACATCTTTACAGACACATCACCCAAAGCAGTGATAGTGAAGAGAAAGATAAACAGCTGGGACTACATCAAATTAAAGAGCTTCTGCACAGCAAAAGAGACAATAAGAAAAACAAAGAGAAACCCCACCAACTGGGAGAACATTTTTGCACCCAACACTAATGATAAAGGACTGATCACAAAAATCTGCAAAGAGCTGATGAGACTCAGCAACAACAAAGAAAATAATCCAGTCAAAAAATGGGCAGAAGAGCTAAAAAGAAACTTCTCTGAAGAGGAAATGCAAATGGCCAACAGACATATGAAAAAATGTTCAACATCACTTGTCATCAGGGAAATGCAAATCAAAACTACCATGAGATACCATCTCACACCAGTGAGAATGGCACATATTAAAAAAACTAGCAACAACAAATGTTGGCGAGGGTGTGGAGAAAAAGGAACTCTTCTGCACTGTTGGTGGGAGTGCAAACTGGTCCAACCACTATGGAGAGCTGTGTGGAGATTTCTGGACCTACTAAACATAGAGCTTCCATATGATCCAGCAATTCCACTCCTAGGTATTTACCCAAAGGACACAGAAACATCAATTCCAAAGAGCACCTGCACCCCTATGTTTATAGCAGCACTGTTTACAATAGCTAAGCTTTGGAAACAACCCAAATGCCCAAAAGTAGATGACTGGATCAAGAAGATGTGGTACATATATACCATGGAATATTACTCAGCATTCAAAAAGATAAACACATGCAATTTGCAGCAACATGGATGGCGCTGGAAGGGATCATGCTCAGCGAAATAAGCCAAAAAGAAAAAGAAAAATACCGGATGGTCTCACTCATAGCAGGAATCTAGTAAACTTAAATAAGGGACCAGGAAAATGAATATAAGAAAGTGAAAATCAAAATCAACAAAAAACTATGAACCAGAGACACTTTTTGGGGGTGGGGGCGGGAGGGGAAGGATTGGGGTCAGAATGGGGCGTTTGCAATTGTATGGGGGAATATAAAAATAAAATTTAAGATTTAAAAAAAAAAAAAAAAAAAAAAAGAAAAATAAGAAAAATATAATACAAGAAAAAAATATAATATGGGGTTTGGTCCTATCTATGCATGGTTTCAGGCATCCACTGGGGGTCTTGGGACATATCCCCCGCAGATAGGGGAGAACTACTAAGCCTAGGGCCCAGAGGACCAACTGCAAAGAGGTAAGACAAGGTTACTTTATTGGTTTCTTTTCCCCAGGTCAGTCTCTTCACACCTCCAAGGAAGGGAGTGAATGGCTTATAGGCAGATGCTTTAACTCCTTCCTCCCATGAATGCTACTTTAAAAATTAGAAGAGTGTAAGTGGGGTTTGTTTGTTTGTGTGTGTGTGTGTGTGTGTGTGTGTGTGTGTGTGTGGAGAGGAGAGGAGAGAGACTGATTAATAGTAAGAGAAAGAGAAAAATGGGTAGGAGGGATGGTCACTGGGTCTCCCTTATATGAGTTTGGCACTAGCAAACCTATCCTTACCCTGCAAAAATCTTCCAACATTTTTAGGCAAGCACAGGGCAAAATGCAACTCAGGTTAGTTTCTTGAGGGAGACTGCATACATAACCACAAGCTGCTGGCCCACAAGCACACCCTTGTCCAGCACAGTCAGACTCTGCTCCCTCTGGGTACAGTCAGATATGAACAATGTAACTCTTTGAAGAACATGGTATCATGAACTCTGCAAAATACAGGTTTGGGAGCAGATATGGGGAAGCCGGGAGCGTACCACAGGTGGGACTGTGGGTAAAACTGTTTAACTTCTGGGAGTATAAGCAACTTAACATAACTGTGCATTTTTCTAGAATAGAATCCAGAAAGTTTAAGGATTCTCAAAAAGACTGAATCTTTTTGACAATCTATAGAAGTTCAGCTGGAAAAACATCATGGTGTTTTGGTGAATGTGGATCCAGGGACAAATTAGTAAAGTCCCCACTGCCCACACCCAACCCTGGTCTGCTCTGTTGGGGCCTCCTTCTGACTGCTCACTATCGGAGGTCTCAGAGCCCAGGTCAAGCCTGAGGATGAGCAGTCTTAATTTCCAAAGGATTTCAAAGATGCTGTGAGACATTCTGAATACCAAACACTCATCGTTTAAATTAATGAACTATAAAGAGTAGAACTTACCTTTTAGTTTTGTTAGATAAAGTCTCAAAGTCACCTTGCAGATTTTTGCATGTTTCTTTCCATTGAAGAGACTTCTCATTTAGATATGTACTGTTTCTTGAAAGAGATTTTAAAAAAAGATTATTTAAAATGAGAGCTTCTAAGATATTGCTAACAAAAATCCAATTTAATTGATAATGTGTGCCCAAACAAAGTCTGCTTTTCTTTCCATTATTGGATTTCTCCGTGGAAAAGGAAATTGATATTTTTACCTGTAAAGAGTCCAATTTTTTAAAAAATTATTCTATAAAGTCAAACAAAAAAGAACTCCCTATGGGAGACTTTATATTTTCAGGTTTTCATATTTTAAGGCTAGTATTTACAATGTACAAGTTATTGAATAATTTTAATCATTGGGTATGAAAACAGCCTTTATTTTTAAAAAATGTCTGGTAGGAAGCATCTCAGACACAAAAAGAATGCAAGGTACATCTGGGCTTTGATTATTATAATAGCTATGGCATAAAGGCCTGTTGCTATTGTTTTATGATCTGGAGTTGGAACAAGGCCAAATCAAAATGCAAACTTTAGACACAGGGTATGGAGTTGGGCTGCCCAAAGAGCCTCACCAGCATATGCATGTTAGTTAACCATGTAGATACCAGTCCCCACATCTCTACTGGAATGATAGTCCTTACTGCATAAGGTTATTGTTATATGTACACACAATGCAAAGCACTTGGTATTCCACCTGATAAAGTAAATGCTCAAAAATTTATCAATTACCACTTACACTTCAAAAATATGCATACAACTCCAACTTACTGTTAGTGCATTTATTTAACCACCATGAAGATTCTGCTGGGAACCTACTACGGGCAGGGGGCCAGGCATAGGATGCTTCCAGTATGGAGATGGATAAAACAGACATGGTCCCTTCCCCTGGAGGTGCTTGCAGACTGGTTAGGGGGATGGACATTTTCCAAACAAATAACCACTCTAATGCATATGGAATTCTGAACTATGGTTAGGATCATTAAAAGAGTGGAAGTGCCCTGGAGGAGTGTGAAGGGGACAATCTTAAGAGCATCTCAGGGATAGGGTCATTTAGGCTGAGATCTCAAGGAAAATTCAGATGAGCTGGATAAACTGAATGGGGTTGGGGAGAGACATTCCAGACAAAGGGGAAAACACGTGCAAAGGGCCCAGAATGTGAGGAACTGAAAGAAGGCAAGTGGGTAAAAGACTAAAAGGTTAAAGACATTTAGAGCATCATGCAGAGGGAGCAGGCAGAGCACACAGGGCTGGGAGTCATGCTTGGAATTTATCCTAATAACAAGGGGGGCAGGAGAGGGAAGTCATGCATTTCATTTCTATGCAGAGAAATGATATGATGGACGGTTAGATACAGCAGAGCTGGGAAAGTCAGGCAGTTGCTGCAGGATTGCAGGAAAGAGATGATGGCAACTTGTTTAATTAGTCAGCACAGAACAGACTGTGATGTGAGGATAACAACCACCACCAAACCCACAGCTGCTTCACGTAACAAAGCTTTGTTTTTCACTCATGAAATGCCCACTTTTTGTCTGGGTGGCTTTGTGGGGCAGCTGTGTTCCATGCAATATGGGGATCCATACCAACTGGTTCCTGTGGGGCCTATGTTCCAACAACCCGCTTCCATAATTACGTAGCTGGAGAAGACAGTGCTAGAAGACCTTACCATGTATCTGAATGCTTTAACCTGGCCTGAGAGGTCGTGTGGCCAAGCTGGTCACAAACTGGGAGTCAGAAAAGAGCAAACACCCATGTGTCCAGAGAGAGGAGATGAGGACACAGAGTGCAATGGAGCGCTGGATGCTCAGCCCACAGGTGATGAGTCCATCACCTGTGTCCATCAGCGTGAAGAGAAGCTGACAGATCGGGATCTATTCTAGAGGTAAAACTGACAGGACTTCATAATAAATTGGATATGGGAGGTGAAGGAGTAGAAGGTGATGTAAAGGTAAAGATACAAACAAGACAGATTCATAATTAATCTTCCAATATTTCTCAGAAATGCTTCTCAAAAGGACTGTGCAAGGGTCAATCTAGGCTCACAATCTCTCTTCATCCTGAGAAGAATTTTCTCCCCCACCCCCACCTTCTGCCTTCTTCTCCCTCCTTTTGTTTACATGCCTCACCTTCTGCGCTTTCTGAATGTATTATTGTACTTTCCAAGGATTTGTTTATTTCTAATTTGCTGTGTGTTTTATTCAGGCAGCACCATTAATGAAGTGAATTACTGAGCCGGCAGTGCTTTGAATTATGATGGCTTTGCAGCATCAAATGGGGAAGCTGTGACAAGCAGGAACCAATAGGATTTGGTGTCATATAACTTTCCTGAAATCAGATAGTATCTTTGTTAATAAAAAGTCAAAACAGTTTTGCCCAAGTAATATCACAGAAGATGTGGAAGCAAGTGAGACTCTCTGGGGTCAAGTGAAGATGACAGAATGAAATTCTAAGGAAAAAATGAGCTTTTAGGCATCAGCAAGGCCAGCCTCTAATCTGGACTCTACTTGTTGGCCTCAAACTTAACCAACCCTATCTGAAATGCAGACCACTCATTCTGCACCACGTTCCCATGACAGGCCTTCCTCTCTGTTCTCCTACTTCTGAGAGCTGACCGGCGCCCTCTTGCAAGTTCTTTCTTGGACCCACCTATAAGTGCTGGCGTTTCTCACAGTTCTTTTTCTGTGACTTTAACATGTTTCCTATTTTCCATGGTGGGGTGCAGTTACAGGGATTCCCAGGACTGTCTCCAGGTCTCATTGTCTCAGTCTGCCTGTTTTCTCTGAACATCTCGACCAGTCTCGTTTTCTGTCTTCTGCTCCATCGTCACCGGCCCCAAGATGGGTAGTATTGCATATACATTTGATCATGTCATTTCCCTGCTCAATGAAACTTTGTGACCACAACCCCTCAGGACATGCTCCACACTTCTTGGCTGGACATATATAGCCATCCAGCACCAGGCCCCTGACTGCAGTTCCAGTCTTATTGTCCACTGACAGTGAGCTAAGCTTTAAATGGAACAAATTCTTTTTCCATTTCTTGCAAGTCCTATGTTATGGATTCAAACTAGTTTTATTATTTCAATATAGGATTTATTTATTTGGTACTGGCAACCAAGCCTTCAGGCACATTTTCTTCAGTATGTAAGTTTGGGTGAGTAATGAAGGAGAGATTCTTTAATAAGATTAGGAGAAAAAAATACAAAAACAAGCATTTTTGTTATCATGTTGTCTATGTAGCTGATCTGCACTGTAGAAATTCTATCTGTATGAAAGCCAGGCTTCTGTTGAAAGTGATCACTTTATAAGATCACCTAGCAAGATTTTACAGAATAATGAGAAGCTTAGAGACTACATCTGCTGCAAAACAATAAAACTTAAGATTCTGGTAATACAAAGAACATCTCTTTTTAAAAAATAAGTGATTCAATCACTACAAAATAGTGGCATCAGTACTTAGTGGGCATTCACAAGAACCTCTAATATGCTGAGCTAATGTCACCTTCTGAGCATGACTTGTAATTAGTGCAATCATGCAATCAGTCCCCCAAACAAGAGAAGCATTTCAAAGAATAATCTGCTTGCAGGTGACTAAGGAGTTTCAAGAACTTTCAAATTCTATTTACAGTGGCCATAGCAGAGGAAAAAATGGAATGTGAACCAAAATGAAAAACTTAAACCTAATCAATTTTACTCTCTGAAGAAAGACTGTCATTTCAAGTGGGAAATGTGACCTAGAAATGGAAAGCCTAAAGAATAAGAATTTTCCTGAAATCCAGGGAAGAGTTGCTGATGAGCCAGGAGTTGTCATCCTGAAAACTAGCAGAAACCCCTACAGAGGAATCTAACATGCTGGCCTGCCTCTAGGACAAGAGCAGTAGTGAGAGCTACCTGTGCTCTGTCATCAAGCAAGCTTCTAACCATCATGCTCACCTCCCCAAATCTGAACACCCTGGGTTTTCCCTGAGGGAGGAAGGCAAGCTTCCCAGACCGCTGCATAGAGTTGATTATTCTCTTTAACCTATAAACTAATATTCTGGTTTATAAATCACCCTTCTATGAACCTAGCTAACATAAATCTGTCTTTGAAATACCAATCATATTCTAGAACTTACAAAATCATATTTTGGGGCCTCAGAGATGAGTCCCTGTCCTGCCTCTTTGTTTAGTCCTTCATGAAGTATCTTGTGGAGTCCTATCGTGTGCCCAGAGTGTGGTAGCTATTGAAGATATGACAGAAAAGTACACAGTGTCCCTGCTGCCATGGAGCAAAGAGTGTAATGAGGGCGACAGTCAAGTAAACAAACACCACACTGAGTCTGCAGAATGAGTGCTGGCTATCTTCCATAATCATATTAATTTCATGAAACCACAGCTCTGTGTTTTGGTTGGTGTCATTTAATTCAAAGCATAGAAACTGCTTTTAAAAGGACCATAGAGAACTTCACTCTTTTATATATAAACACTGCAGTCAACTTATATTGCAAACATTTCTGCAAATACTGTTAACATGGTTTTACCTTAACTCTTACCTGTCTTTGGTTACCGTTGACAAAGTTTAATTATCTAGCTCTTGACTACTAAATCAGTTACCATAATATATCCTGGCTTCCCTACCATTGTTGGTAGTTTTCAAGCATATGAAAGAATAAATCCTATACAAGTAGGAACTAAACACATTAAAGATTTGATTTTATCATAAGGAAACTGGTTCAAAGATGAATCCAAAACACAGACACATTTCTAGATCAGGAATATTGAGATGGGTGTGCAAATGAAGCCCAAACTGGGGCAAGAGGTGAGTGGGGGCAGAGAAGTGAATTGGACCTCTACCAGACAGGACATAATTTGCATATTTATGGACAAAAATTATTTTGCATTGTTCTAACTACAACTTACAGAGTTGTAAAATTATTCACATAGGATCAGAATCAGATAACTCAGGTGTGTGACCTGAACAATGCAAATTTATCCATTGAAATTACTCAACTATAGGGCCTCCCCGATGGCACAGCAGGTTGAGTACAGTGCTGTGAAGCTGTCCACAGCCTCTGCAAT